CTGTGGACTCCAGTGGACTCTGTGTACTCTAAGAGTACAGGAGTACGTCGTTTCCTCCTTGTTCCAAACGCATTCAGAGAAGAAGAAATAAATAATCGAAAAGTTATCGATCCGATAATGGAATGTGATTCGATTACTATAATACAAAACAACTGTTCCATTCCTTATTTTCTGTTAAAACAATGTTAAATGAAAGATTTTTGTGACAAACGAATTTAAAGGAGTTTTGGCGTACATGGGCTAGAAACTAGGATCCATTCCATATAGATCTGGGCAAAACCATTGAATATGCATCACAAACCTTGACGAGCATCTTGGAAATTGTCTCATTGTTGGTACAAATAACAGCTATGTCGTGTGTCACATTTTAATTTTGCAAGGTTTCCATTAACAGCATTTATACTCTTCAATTACATATCGTTTATTTGTCTGAACAGCAATAACATATAAAAAACAGAATAAAACGAAACACAACGTTGTTTTCAGGTTGAAGTTCAACACCATAGAAATACAATACTCATGATTGATCCTATCAAATACCGATAAAATGAAGCCAAAGGTAAACTATCTTTTTGTTTACTGTTATCAATTTTTCGATATTAAATAATTACTTGACGTCTCATATTTCTTTTCTTATTTCCGATATTAAAAAGAGCTTCAATTGTCTTTTCATTAATCATTTACTTACATATATTTACAACATATGATGTTGTACTTCAGAATCATTTCTCTCTTGATTGTAATTTTCATATTACATCCAGTTTATAGTTCATATCGTTATATGGGTTGTTATATAAATGCATTTTATAATAGTTATTTTATAAGTTCATACATGGAACCAACATTATGTTTTCGTTTATGTGAAACACCGATAATTTATATACAAGCCTCAATATGTCGATGTTCAGGTGGAGGTCTAATGGATTATAATCGACAAAGAGATAAATTTTGCAGAATAGCATGTCCAAAGCCAGGTGATCGTCGATTTAAAAGTAATAATACATGTGGTGGTTTAGGAACATATTCAGTCTACGTTGAAGAACATTTTTATACTCAACATGCTGAGTTATTTAACTATCAAATTCAATTTGCATCATGTCAGTTATGGAATAGTTCTAGTTATTATGATACATTTCAAGTTAAAATTGATGAATCATCTGTTAAATCATCATTGAATAGATTAGAACGATGTGCAGTCGCATGTCTTGATCAAAATACTACAACAAAATCAATAGGTAGGAGAAACATTTAAAGTACGAATAATTATCAAATAATGTCTCATATTCATACGAAATCGAACCTTTTTGTTTGGATCACTATATTCTATTCTACTAGTTTAACTACGTCCAATATTCAAAATACAGCACATAAGACACTGCATTAACAACCTTTTCTCACATGTCTTATTCTCAGCTGTAGATAATAATTTTTTGGTACAAGGTAGCTGCT